CTCCCGGGATCTCCCTGGACCCTGGAAATCCTGCCACCCCACACAGGGCCGAGACCAGAACCCCGCCACAACCACCTACACGCTCAGGACACGCGCTGTGACTGAGGGAAGGCCACCTCACCCCCGGGCACCAAGCAGCCAGGGGCTCAGGTCCCACGGCCAGCTGTTTGGCGGGGGAGGCCTTCTCCAGACCCCTGCCCACCCTGGCAATGCCCAGCCCCCAGCCAGAGCTGGAGATGCGGAGAGGGGTGCCTTCCGCTGCCTCCAATCTTCTCCAGGAATCTGAAGAACGTGCCTGTCCAGGGGCAGTCCCCTACACACCTGGGGTCACATGAGCCCAAGCCCTCAGGAACTGCTTCCCAGATGGGAGGGCATCTCTGGGCACCTCTGGCCAGAGGGCCGACAGGAAGCCTTGGCACACCCCTCCCGCACCCTTCCCTCTGAAAGTGACCGGGGAGGGGACAGTTCCTCAGCCTTGGCTTCCAGGGCCTGGCACTGGGTAAGTACCAATGTCTGCTGGCTCCATGGGGCACCAGCTCCTGCAGAAGGGAAATGCACCTAACGCTGACAGCGTCCCCACCCATGCAGGCCTCCTCTGCTCCCTCTCATTCATTCAACCAGTCAATCATTTACTGAGATCCACAAGGCCAAGCACTGCGCCACTGCCCTCTGGAAACTTCACTGCAGCGGGGTGCAGAGTTACAAACCCTGTTAGGTGCTGGGACGGGGCGAGGAGGGGTGCGCTGGGAATGCAGGCACATCTGTCTGAGGGAGGGACGTAGGAAGACCCCAGACAGCAGGCACAGCATGTGTGAGGAGCTTGAGGAGGGGGGTGGAGAGAGAGGGAAGGGCAGTCTGAGAGGGGCTGAGGGAGGCTTTAGCCAGAGGGCAAGAGAAGCCGAGGGAGGGTTTCAGGAGGCGTGACAATACCAGATTTGCATTTTCAAAAGATTGCTCAGCACTGGGACTGGAGGGGGTGTGACCAGTTAGGCGCCAGGGCAGCCAGAACCAGGTGAGAGAAGACAGGGCAAGGACAAGGGGGGAGGGGGTGGTGACCGCCGGAGGTGGAGACTGAAGGGCAGGGATGTCAAGGATTTAGCGGGGGGCGAGGTAATGAGTGAGGCTCGGGAGGGCTGTGAGAATCTGAGCGGAGGTGTTGGGTGGGCAGGGGGAGGGATCCTCTGGCGTCCCGAGTGTGGGCTATGGCTGTGTGTGATTGTGCCGGGAAGCGAGAGTGACTAAGTGTTGACTGTTGCTGTGGCGTGGGTATCTCCACTGCGCGTGTGCCCACGAAAAAGCCTCTGGGGAGGGAAAACTGAGGACCGAGAAGAAGTACGTGCTGGGGAGGGAGTACAAGCGCGTTGGAGAGCGCCTACCTGTGCCCGCGGGCAGCGTGTGGCTGTGCCCGTGACTCACGGTGGTGGCCTCGCGTGTGACGGTGGCTGACAAACAGGTGAGCACGACACAATCCCTCCTTCCTCCCTCCCGGGGTGCGTGACTCACGGCGCCTCGCTCATCCCTCACGCCCTCCCTGACCCCCGCCGCGGCCCCGGCGCCTGCCCCCAGGAGGAGCCCAAGGAGGAAAGCGACAAATGTCACCTGCTCCGGCCATGCGAGGAACTTCTGAAAAGTTCTCAGGCAACTGGGTCAAAAGGAAACTCGCCCGCGGACGCGCGCACCCCGTCACCTGGCCACCCGCGGCCACTCCACCTCAGCCGCCACCCACACCGAGCTCGGGGCGCCGCGACTTGTCCGGGTAACCACCGCGGGGCGGGGGAGGGGCGCAGAGAACCCGCGACCCCCACCTCCCCGGCTCCCACCCCCACACTCCGGCCGCGGCGCACAGTCCGGGGGGGGGCTGGCCCACCGGGGGAGCCGGCGACCGCTAAGGGTGGCGGGGGCAAACGGCAGGGGCTGCAGGAGCAGTGCCACCCGCACGGGTCGCCCCCTCCGCAAAGTCCCGTCGGCCGGGCTCGGGGCTCCTGGCGCTCACCTGCGATCCGGGCGCTCGCCAAGCACACCGACACGACCCGCGTCCTGGCCCGGGCGCCCCGCGCCT